TTTATTTATTGTTTTTAATGAGTTGTGAGCCACCCAGAGTCCCCCATTGGGGGGAGATGGGTGGGGTCAAATTTAATAAATGAATGAATGAATGAGTGGATCAATTTAAATCTCTTTTGCCAGCTTTCATATAGTGTTCTATTCCATCAGTTTGGGGCAATTAAAAAAAAAAAAAAGCAACCTTGGATAATTCATATACATTGACAGTCTCAGGTAACTTAGAACAAAAAGTGACGATGGGAATGGCAACAGTATGATTGGAGATGAAGCTATTACAAACTCTTGCTTGAGTACCTTCACACCAGTGACAAAGCTCTCACTGAGTTCTGTCTTTTTGCTGTGATGAAATCCCAAAATCTCATGCATTCAGCACTGTCTGAAATACTAAATACATAATGGCTTTAGAGTTGGTGTTAGCTTAATATTCCCAGGCGAGAAATTTGACCTATAATCACGAATGGTATCCCCAAAATGTTGTTATATGAAACCCATGATTATAAACATTCACCATTTACTATTGCTAACTAATAGGCACTCTGCTGAAACCCAGAACTGATAATAATGCTATCTTCTTTGGTTGTGATGTTGTAGGAAATGCTGGTGTGACATAACTGTGTTATTTAAAAAGACAGAGCTTGCCAGACTAGTTTATAAAAGTCCTGTGAAGCAGGAATCCTAGGAAGCACTAGGTTGCTTTTCTCGGTAAAATGGGTACTAAGTTAGAGCTATCTCAGTCTCCATGTCTGTGTATGAAATAATGTTTCAGCAAATGGGAAGATCTTTGATCACAGCTCCATTTTGTTGTACAAAGAAAGTGCTACTTAATAGCAGCTAATGTTCTAAGTGGAGAAAAATACAGGAAAAAAGTAATTGAAAGAAGGCCCTTTTCTTCATCAAAGACAAAGATGTATTATTTGTACATTTGTATCTTGTTTCAATAAATTGTCCAGAAAAATGTAACAGTAATTTGGTTGCATCATGTGCTACCAAAAAAAAAAAACCCAGAACAAAAAACCAAAAAAAACCAAAACACAACTTGCCATGCTATTCATGTACTGTACATAGGGTGGTAAATTTGACCTCTCAAAAACAAATAACATCCCTTATTCATAGCTTTGAACAAATGCCTTTTAGTTTTAAAAAGGGATGAATTTAATCTGTACATAGGAAATACTGGAGAAAATTGATAACTCTTTCTAATTTTATAACCAGATCTGGATTTTTTGATATATGGAATTGCTTGCCACATTGTGATTTATAAACTAATACACTAAGTTTATCACATTTTTCATTATCTATTCTTTTTAGTACATTGTGGGAATACTGTAGCCATAGTATATCTTGATTTCAGAAATGCATTTGACATTCTCATTAGCAAGTTAATTGGGGGCTACATGAGATGACAATTATGTGGATATATACAGTAAATGGTGTCAAATTTTTATGTATTAATGTTTCCTCATCAAATGGAGTCACTGTTGTGAGATGGGTGACCATATAAATAATATAAATGAATGAATGAATGAATGAATGAATGAATGAATGAATGAATGAATGAATGAACTGAATGCAGGCATCAAGAAGGGTGTCAGAAGGCTCAGTCCTGGTCTCTGTTTCTTCAACATTTGAATTAATGTATAAGGAGATGATACAAAATTGGGCAGGATAGCTAAAACCTTGAAGACAGAAATAAAATTAAAAACAGACGTCATACGTTAGGGAAATGGCCCAAGAATAACAAAATGATATTAAAAAGATAGAAATGCAGAGCCGAAGATGAAGGAAAAATACAGACAGCCCAGAAGTCCAAAACTCTTTTTGACAGGTTCAAAAGAAAAGAAAAATTGTTATATCAGCAGCTTAAAAAAAGCCAGAAAATGCAACCGGGGGAAAAAAAAACAGGTATGCTGTAGCTATTGAAATCTTATTTGCTTCAGTCTTGTCCACCCCTTGCCCCCCCCAAAAAAGTGCCACTCAGAAATTTTCAGTGCTCTGCACAGTAGAGATTTGCACACAATTGTTTAAAATTGTAGTAGTTATTCATGTGCTTGACTACATTCTCTTTCCCCCTAAGTGTACAAGTGTTCAAAGAATCACAGAGCTGGAAGGTGCCAAAAGCTCTGAATATTCATCTCTACGATAAAACACCCTTTTATATAAGTAGAACATTAGCAGAATCAGTATTCTTTCGACAGATAGCTTTTTACAGTGAGGAGTACTTGTTAAAAAGTATAATCTTATTTGAAGCATTGCTGAATTGCTGATTCAACCATCTCTTGACTTGATCATTTCATTCTGTTGCCTTCAAGGGTATTTTCAGTCTAAACCTCACTAATCACATTGGAAGAGTATTGAGGATTACAGCTATAGACTTGATGTAATTTAATGGACCAGAGAGGTGAAAGAAAAGAATTGTATTTTTCAACAGTTCATCCAAGGAAGAAGAAGGGATGCAAGAAAAGACCAATCAGAGTCTGTTCCACCTAGACTATTCCTCCCTTTAAGAAGCCACCTGCCCAGATCTACCCTGACAGTGGACAAA